TTATCCAAAATTGGTTTTCTTAACCTAATATACAAATTACAGATTTGCACATAATGAATTTAGATTCTATGGAAAATAAAATTTAAAAAAGTGGTTATCCAAAATTGGTTTTCTTAACCTAATATACAAATTACAGATTTGCACATAATGAATTTAGATTCTATGGAAAATAAAATTTAAAAAAGTGGTTATCCAAAATTGGTTTTCTTAACCTAATATACAAATTACAGATTTGCACATAATGAATTTAGATTCTATGGAAAATAAAATTTAAAAAAGTGGAAGTATTTCTTTAACCAAAGTAAATTATCTTCTTAACTAAATAGTTCAATATTCATAGCTATAAATTAATAACCAAATAAATATACTTTACGACTCTAAAAATGTACTTTTAACATTATATAAATATTTGTGAATATTCGAAAATTTCGCACTTTCGAACTCGAAAAGAATCCCGATTCTTATTCAGTTTTGAATTTGGAGATTTTAAACAAATGCAATATGAACAAGTCAATATTCAATTCCATTCGATACGTTTCCAGCCCTATTTGCAACATTAGCTCTGTTTTTTGAATATGAACCAACTAGTTCATGCTACTAACACTTTTATCCCCTCATACCATCCAATATTGTGATGGTTCATTTAACTTCCAGGTTCGTTTCCGTGTGCTTGATGATTGCTTGCCCTTGCCAGAAGAGAAGTTCAAATCAGCGATCAAAGCAAACTACTATGGTAGGAACAAATTCAGTTGTGAACTATCTGTAGAACAGGTGATTGTTTATAATCTTATCTGAAGTATTTCAGAATGTACATTGGGTTTTATTGTCACGTGTTTTATCTGGGCAATATATATGTTACATAACAGGTGAAGAACCTATGCAAGCTCTTCAAATCTGCAGGCAAGATCTCTAAATCGAAGAGGTCCAGGGAAGTTATCCGAGCAGAACCTGAGCCGATTTCTTCATCTCGGGGCCGGAAGAGGTCACGCAAGGAAAGACCAAGAGCAAGACAAAATGAGAACATTCCGAGAATTCACGATTCATACGCAGAAAGGGAACCATATGCATCCCCACCTCGTCACGTTAGGGAAGTCATCAGAGCACAGCCGGAGCAGGCTTCCTCTTCTCGCAGCAGGAAGAGACCTCGTCGTGAAAGAGTTGGGCGGGATGACAATCGTGAAAGAGCGAGGCGGGATGACGATCGTGAAAGAGTGAGGCGGTATGGTGATCGTGAAAGAGTGAGGCGAGATGAGAATAGTCCAAGGGGTCACGACTTGTACCCAAGGAGAGAAGCTTATGCAGCTCCACCTCGCTCATTAGCATTCCCTTCTCAGCAACAACCCCCTGTACCCTATGCATATGGTCAATCAGTGGATGATTTCTATTACAGGCGAGAGGCACCTATGCTCGAAACAAGGGATAATAGGGTTGTCGATTTAGAGACGAGGCCTCGTGAGGCCCTTTTATATCGTGATGCTTACAGCTTGTACTCGGACCCCTTGGCCAGAGAGGCTGTGTATAGGGAGCCTTTGCCTAGGGAGGCTTTGTACAGGCAGCCTTTGCCTTTGACTTTACCCAGGGAGCCTGCATATAGAGAGCCTTTGTCAAGGGAGGCTTTATACAGGGAGCCTTTGCCCAGGGAGCCTGCATATAGAGAGCCTTTGTCAAGGGAGGCTTTATACAGGGAGCCTTTGCCCAGGGAGCCTGCATATAGAGAGCCTTTGTCAAGGGAGGCTTTATACAGGGAGCCTTTGCCCAGGGAGCCTGCTGCTTACCATGAAGCATTATATCCTGCAAGCTCGACTGCTGCTGCCCCTCTGAGCTTGACCTCTGCTGCCCCTCTGTTTTATTGATATTGAGCATGGTTTCCAAAAAACTCTAATCAACATCTACATGAGTAAACTCTTCGGTAGTAATTTCTGTAATTTGAAGAAATTGAATGTTTGACTTGAATTCCTTATCTCTGAGAGTTTATGGTATATGGAATTGTGTAGGACAACATAGATGCTTAAGTTCTTGCGCACGAATATCCAGCTTGCTTTATCATCGGGAATGGTTTTATTTTTTAGTTATATTGCAGCTACTTGTTGTGTGCTATGTGCTGTGTTTCTTCTTTTCCCAGGGAAGTAATTATGTTTGTGTCAAGTCCATGTTTTGGTATTTCTGTTGGTTCTGAAATTGCAGGCTTTCTGCTTATTAAACCATCTTTGAGTTACTGAGTATGGGAATTTGCCCATTTTCTTAGCTGTAAAGTAATTTTGAGCCATTTTCTCTTCATGTTTTTCCTTTTTCTTTTTGGTTTTCAGAAGCTGGCATCTCCTCTCATCATTTTGTTGGCTATTAGGTTTTCCCTTCTAGGCCATTATGCTGATTGTTAGCTCCCATTCTTGGATATCAAGCAGAATCATTGCCAGCAGCAGCATGAAGGTAATGACTTCATTCTTTCTTTTGGCGTGCATGCTACAAGGAACTGCATAGATTAAATCATTAAGGCGGTGATGGATTGCACTTCGGTAATTTTAGGCTTCAACTTAATACTCAGAAAACCACGTCTTCTAAATTCCATTTACTGTTCTGATTAAGCTGAGTTCAAATTCCTCCCAACTATTTTCATGAGTCTGACAAGACTTGGAATATTGATCGTTATGTCTGTATCATTATTTGTAAATGCTTGTTAAAATGTCTGCCCTTTCTATTGTGCATGATTGGATTCTGAGCTGTTTGAGTATGCAGAAATGCAGCGTTCGACATTGATTGTATTTCGTTGTCCGTATCTGATTCGATCTAGTAATAATTAACTAAAAACTATATTGAATCCCCTATTTGATCTATTTATATTCAGCAGTGAGTATTAAGTGAATTTTATGGGCTATCACACTGGAAGTGAGATAATTATGACATGATCATCAAACAGGTATTGACTAGCACATGTTGGTCCATTTTGTATGAGTTAAATTGAAACATTGAATGAATGAATGCTAGTAGATATGGGATCCCACATGTTATTGTTAAATTCCCACATCTCACCCATATATATGGCTGTTTCTGATCTCCCAACATGTGCGATTGCTATATCTCTATTCAAAATGTCACCAAATTTTTTTTTCCTATTCTTATATTGAGAGAAATATACTCGTTGTTTTCTATGATCTGTAAGATTGTGCATATCAGTACGGTGTACTATTTGTGCTGACCTCTGTTGTAAACTTCGAACTGACGTTTACGAACTCTTCACCATTGGCAAGCATGTCTACACCTCATAACTTTAGGCTGAACCTAGGCCTGTCCATCGGGCCGGGCCGGCCCGGCCGGCCCGGAAATCGGGCCCGGGCCGGGCAAAAACCGAGCCGCGGACCCGGGCCCGATACTCCGGGCCGGGCTCCCGGGCCGGCCCGGATTTTTTGTTTTTTTATTTTTTTATTTTTTTAAAAATTTTAAAAAACAATAAAACATAAAAATTATATTTATATAATAGTATATATATATTATACTCTATATAAATATAATTATATATATGTACATATAAGTTATGTTTATATATATGTATAGATATATAAATATATATTTATACTCTTATATGTATTATACTATTATATAAATATATACTTATATATGTACATATAAGTTACTTATATACTAAGAGAGAGAGAGTATAAATATATATATAAGAGAGAGTATACACTGTACACAATATATAAGAGAGAGCATACTTATACATATATAATATTATATAAGAGATATAAACATATATAAGATGAGAATATACTTATATTTATATATACTTATATATAAGTAGCCCAAAGTATTCATGTCATTCAATATATGTATATGTATATATATACACACACACACAGACACACATATACATATATTATACATAAACAAATTGTAAATACTTATAGTAATTACATAAACAAATTGTATTATACATAAAAACACACACACATATAAACTTATATATACACACATATATTATAATATATAAGAGAGAGTTATACTTATACATTATACTTATATATATTATATATAATATATATATATATATATATAATATATATATATATATATATAATATATATATATATATAATATATATATATATATATATATATATAATATATAAGAGATGTTAAATAAATAAGAGAGATATACTGAAATATCTTATAAGAGAGTATACACCTGTATACTTATAATATATACTTATACATATATTATATATATATATATAAGAGAGATCGAGAGAAATAACTTATATATACTTATATACTAGTATACTATATCATATAACTTATACATATATTATACATATATAAGAGAGAGTATACATTGTATACTTATATATACTTATACATATATTAACAGAGCATATTTATACATATATATACTTATATAAGAGAGAGTATACTTATATATAATTATATACTAAGAGAGAGTAAAAGAAAACTCAACAGGGCTCAGCCGCTCCAGGGACGAAGAAAATCCAGTAACATACATACGTGCTTTAACCTTTTACTAGTACCACACGTACACCAACATGCCCGGCGATAGAATTATTCTTAGTTCAATATTTGGTGCTGTTTGCCAACCCCCTTCATCAATAGAGACATCGTCTGCTAGGAGCAATGCTAATTTTGTGGACGAAGAAGTCACGTGATCTTAGCGTCACCAAAGACTCACACCTCACGTGACTCGAATCTAGCGTCTTCTCAGGTTACGTCAGCGGAATTCGGTTGTATGAAAATATGAGAATATGCTTTGTTTCGATGTAACCTTAATTGCAGTCCAAGTTCAGTTACATGAAAGCATAGATTACTCTTGCGGTAAAATTATTTTTAGTTCAGGTTTAGTTACAAAATGGCAACTAGTTTTATCCACGGTTTTGTGGGCTATAATCCATGGTTTTGTCTATTTTTGTTCGTTTCAACCAAATAATAAATAACTATATGAACTAAGGAATTCGCGACAATTGTGAGCTATAACACAATGATTATCTTTTTTTCAACCAAGTAACTATAAACGACACGAACTCTGAAATTTGAAGTTTTTATGGGCTGGTTTCGATCAAATGTTAATTAATTATTCGAATGCCAGAACTCTTTCGTGGGTTGTAACCCACTGTTTTTGTACATTTTTTGTTCGTTTCAACCAATTATCAATTAATTACATGAACTCCAAAAATCACAACTTCTGTGGGCTATCATCTACGATTTTGTCCTTTTTTTTTTCAACTAAATAACAACTAATTTTCGTGGGCTATAACCTTTGATTTTTGTACATTTTTTTTTACCTTTTGGTCAATTGGCAATTAATTAAGTGTAACTCCAAAATTCACAATTTTGTAGGTTATAACCCATGAATTTTGTCTATTTTGTTCTTTTCAGCCAAATGACAATTAACCACAAGAGCTCAAAATTTAGCAATTTTTATGTGCTGCAATCCATGTATTTGTCCATTTTTTTTCGTTTCAACCAAATAATAACTTAATAAAACTAAAAAATTCATTGTTTTCGTGTGTTGTAACCTTTCAATTTTTTTTTATTTTGTCCATATTGACTAAACGATAGCCAATTACGTGAATGTCAAAATATGCGAATTTCGTGGGCTCTAAGCCATGGTTTTTACAAAATTTTGTCTATTTCTGCCAATTTAATTTTTATAGCAATTAGCCAATTATCCATAAATTATGTGAACTCCAAAATTTTCCATTTTCATAGGTTATAACCCACAGATTTTGTTCATTTTTGCTTGTTTCGACCAAATGACAGTTAACTACACGAACTAAAATATTTGAGACGTTCATGGAGCTACTTGCGATTTTTATCCATTTTTTTCAACCAAATAGCAGTCGATTACGTGAACTCTAAAATTCACAATTTTCATAGGCTATAATTTTTTATTTTTCTTATTTTCTGCCGTTTTGACCAAATGACAATTTGATACATGAACTCTAAAATTCGTAATTTTCGCAGGTTATAACCCATAGTTTTTGTACATGTTTATAGTTTTAGACAATTATCAATTAGTTATGCAAACTCCAAACTTTGCAATTTTTTGTAGGCCATATTCCATGGTTTTGGTCCATTTTTTCCGTTTCAGCCAAATAACAATTAACTATTTGAAGTCCAAAATTGCAATTTTTGTCGACTTAGTATTAGATTTTTTGTCATTTTGTCTATTTTGACCAATTGCCAATTAATTATGCAAAATCCAAAAGTTGGTGATTTTTTGGGCCATATACAATGATTTTTGTACATGTTTTGTTTATTACGCAAACTCTGAAATTCACAATTTTTGTGGGTTGTAACACTATTTTTGTCTATTTTTGTTTGTTTGACCAAATGACAATTTATTCCACGAAATAAAAAGATCACGATTTTTGTTGTCTAACCCATAGTTTTTTACATTTTTGTTTGTTTTAGAAAATAATAAATTAATTATGTAAACTCCAAAATATGCAATTTTCTTGGCACGTATTTGTCTTTTTTTTTGGCCAAAAGGCAATTAAATACATTAACTTAAAACTTCACGATTTCCTTGAGAGATTACCCATGATTTTTGTTCATGTTTATTCCTTTCAACCAAATAACAACTAATTACATGAACCCCAAGATTTGCAGTTTTTGTGGGCCATAAACTTTAAATTTTGTACAGTTCTGTTTGTTTATCAAAGTAGCAACTAATTACACATATTCCAAAATTTGTACTTTTGCTGTGCGGTAACATATAGTTTTTGTCCACTTTTGTTCATTTTTGCCAAATGGCAATTAACTATGCAAACCCAAAATTTCGCGATTTTTATGAGCTTTAATTTGTAAATTTTATCCTTTTTATATCTGAACCAAATAACAACGGATTGCTCGAACCACAAAATTCACGATTTTCGTGGGCTATAACCTTTGATTTTTGTACTCTTTTGTTTGTTTGGAAAATTGGCAATTAATTATGTGAGCTCCAAAATTTACAATTTTGGTGGGTTATATAACCTACAATTTTAGTTTATCTAATTTTTTTTTTGTTTCGGCCAAATGACAATTAAGTACATTAACTTAAATTTCACATTTTGATGAGCTCTAGCTCATAATT